GTGGGCGGCACGTGAGCAGTAGGGTGGAGACCACAGTCAGTCGTAGAATGATCTCCTAGTCCTCACGAGCGCGTGAGATTTTGCAGATCTTAATTCGGATATCGTTTGAACCCTGAACGGATCTCGCCTACTGTGCGATTTCCGGGTTCAATACGTTTGAACCTTTGGATCGTAGTTAATTCCAATTATGTTAATCTAGACTTTCCCAGGATCGTATAGTATTTGACAGATCGTAAAACGGAGTCTCAGATACTCCAGAAATGTCAGCCCTAAAGTGAGATTTACAGTAAAACAAATCAGTTACAGGTCCGGAACAGAGGAAAGAACTACGTGTGACTTGATCCCTCAGAAAGGGTACGTAGGCAGCCTACAGTTATCAGGTGCAGCCACGAATCAGAGTCCCTCAGTTGTGTTACTGTTTTCAGGACATTTTAGTCATTTACGACCCACGTTTACCAGGTGTCAGTTTTAAACAGGTTTCGACCCGGATTCCAAGTGGAAATTGGGTCAGGTCGTTTCAACGGATGTTTCTTCCTTTGTTTATCTTTGGTGGAACTTATGGAGTTTGGAATGCCCTTAAAGTGCACATAGCACTTATCAGTTGGATTATGGTAGCGCTACTCCTACTCGGTGCAGCTTTGGTGGCTTGCTCACCACCATTTTCTGTTGGTTACTGGTTTCTCTTTGGTGGTTGTTGGCTTGCTTTGGTGGAGCGGCTTGTGGCTGTTGGATTGTGCGGCACATACCTGTTATTGGTGTTAGGGTTTCCTAATGTTATGTTGTATTTTGTGGGCTTTTGCCTTTTGTGGGCTTCATGCCTTTATGCATTTTGTTAGTTTTATTTGTAGTGGGCTCTATGTCATTTTGTATTGCATTTGTGTGAACTCAATTATTTGAGTTCAATTTGATGTAATCTGGCTTTGACCTTCTATTTAATGAAACTCGATTCCGACAAAAAAAAAAAAAAAAGCCTCACACTTATTTTATGTTCATCTTATAATTATCATGATATAATATCGTGCATTTATTAACACTTTGTAAATATGTTTTTTTTTTATAAGCAATATTCTAATTTAATCTAATCTAAGCTACTACGAGGATGAAGATTCGAGCTCGGATGCAGAATAGAAAGCACATCTACTCTAGCCAAACTTGAGTTAAGCTCATATATGTCTTTCAAAATACGTTTTAAAACAGAGGCATTAGCCACTAAAAATTGTGTCTTACCTTATTTTATTTTTGTATTTTGACATTCGATCTATACAGTTACAACAAATTGTATGCACACAACAAAGAGGCTTGGTCAATTAATAGTAAGGAAATGTGCATCAATGTTACCAAAATCCCAGTATCCAAAAATTAAAATTGACAAAAAGATATTAAAACCTTAAGAAAATCCTATTCAGGCTCAAAATGTCCCAAAAGTCCAAATATGCATGTGTTTTTTTTTTCGGTTCTGAAAATATGCATGTGTTTCTCCCTGGGTTTTCGAGGGCAATAATAAAAAGAGCAAATGAGTCAATTTGTAACCGCAAGATCCTGCATGTTAACAACACGTGGCTCTATCTTGTTCACCCATATGTACACCGAAGCCGAGAATCGGAGCATTTAGGAGTTGGTTTCGGTTCTGAGAGCGGCGTCTCGTCCCGAGGATTTCGACCGAGTCGGAGAGGCTTAGCAGCGAGAGAAGCGAAATTGAAGCGAGAAATCGAGAAACAGAGGCACGAGAATGCAGTGCTGGAGGAAATGCACGAGTTTGAGCGGCTCGAAAGGCTCAAAACAGAGGACGAGCTCAAGCAGTCCATGGTCAAGGCAGAGGCGGTGAGCGAAGAGAAGCTCTCGGAGGAGAAAGACAAGGGCAACGAGGTAATTTCAGAGCTCCAGAGGACGAACAATGAGTTGGAGAGCAGCATTTCGCGGTTAGAGAAAGGTAGTAAGAAATTGAGGAAGCGATCAAACGAAAACACGCAGAGAAGAAGAAGCGGGCGTTTGGCTTCAATGGATAGTGCTACAAACAACAATGGCTGTGCAAGCTCTGCTGCTGTTGAAGGAAATGGAGGTCTGCGAATTTCAGGTATTTGATTAGGGAGGGAATTATATCATATTTGCAATTTGATTTACTATATGCTAATGCTTAGGTATCGGCTAATTAAGTTTAGAGCCTTGAATTTTGTTGGTAAATTGGCTAATTTTGTTGCTTAGGTTATTTTATTTTAGTTCATAAGACAGAGTCTAACAAAATGAGTGGCTCCATGAACTACAAATCTGAGTTTTCTAAATAATCCTCTCAAAACAACATCAAATAAGCTACTTTGGTAGATTATTCAGTTGGTCCAAAAAAAAATTAAATAGATATCAAGTTTGTGAATAACAAACTGAAATTCTTTTAATACTTTAAAAGAACATAAAGCCACCAGCCAAAACACAGCAATCATCACTGCTTTTTCCCCAATCATAAACAACATAAATAAAATAAATAAAAAATCTTTGAAAAGCTCTTGACCTGTTGCATTGAGATAGTAGCATGATATAATTATGTGAAAAGCTCTTCTCCTTCCGTGCTTCTATGCACCATGATAATTGGACTAGGAGTTCAACAATATGGGGAAGCGAAAATATCCAATTCAGTTGATTTCAAAACAAGGAGGATAGATGAACCAAACCAATTGAAAAACATGAGATTTGATACTAATTGAAAAATAATGCAATCAAGCACAAACAAATTAAGTAGCATCTCAATCACATCAATAGAATGAGTAAAACTCAAACTGAACAAAATTATACCTTATGTCATAGGCGGACGATATTCAACAGTGATGTTAGTGACGAATATACCGTAATAGTTGGTTTGATATAGTTGATTTGTGTCATGGAATGACAGATTCATCATCAACATTATTGATGACTATAGTTGGTTTTATTCATTAGGACACCATCATCAAAATGGAAATGTGTCAATACTGGATATATTGACTCAAATCATGAAAAATGCTCTCGCAAAGTTAGTTCATTATAGAAAAGAACTAATGCATGCATAGAAACAAAATGTAAAAGAAGAAAACAATTGAACTATAACATAAGCTTTAAGCAAATACAAAGTTTTCAATTACTGCAACTTTTCAGTGTGAATCTTAAAGTGATCCAAATAGAGCATAAGGACAAGGGAAGAGGCTTAAGTACATTAACTGAAAAATTTGTGGTACAAAGATTTTGACTTGTGCCAAGAAATAAATTAACCCAAAGCAAAATAATAACATATTGATCAAAAGAATCAAAGCGTCTTATATCCATTGATGACAACAACAAAAAAGTTAAATTGACAAAATAGACGACGAGAAGAAGTCAAAATAGACAACATAAAAGATGTAAACAACAAAAGCAAAAGATTTGAAGTACTGAGTAATCATTTCAAGTCAAATCCAACATCCAATACGAAGTAAGCAACCCTAAATTCACAGCCAAAACCCATCAATATCCAAACTTTTGAATCAGAAATCGAAACCAAAATTCAAATTAATCTCAACCAAGAGGTTGAGTTGTTGAAATAGATACTACACAATAAGCTAAAAAAAAAACTGGTGAATGAAATCATAAATAATTGGGGAAGCAAAACCAAAATCAAAAAAACAAAAATGACATGTTAATATCAAAAACAAAACCCATGCCATTTTATCCATCTCATTTGAGTTTCATTGAAGGATATTAAAAACCGAACCCTAAGGATGTTGAGTTGGCTCTCATACCACATGTAAGAATACACCTCTAGCAGCATATCAACATCACATAGGATTACAACATGAGACTTATGCAATATTAATAACAGATTCACTATTGATACATACTTGACAAAGAATACATAGCTGGAACAAGAACGATCTTCTACTCTATGCAAGTCTTAATATGTTCTAGCTATCAATAGGTCAGGCCCAAAATAGAACTTGGAGACTTGTGAGCGCAGAGATCAGTTCCTTTTATATTGATCAAACCTTAACCATATCTCTCATATTATAGATAGAGCTAGTGTTTAAACAAAACTAATAAACGTAAGCAATTGAGTCCTTATCAATATAATATAGCTACCAAGCCTGTATGTATGTATGTATGTATGTATGTATGTATTTATGTATGTAGGTTATACAAGGGTGGCAAAGATGCAGATGAAGAGGAAGAACATGAAAAAGAAGATTCTGGGAAGGAAGAAGAAGGGAAAGAAGAAAAGGGGAAGAACACAAGAATATGCGCAATACCGTTGTAATATGCGGTCATTTTTCAACACAATGCAAAGAATTAAGGAATGCTTGACCAAAGGGCACTTGGAGTTGCTTCAACAAACTCCATTTTGGCCACTAATATCAGCATTTTACAATGGGATGATTTTTGAAGATCAGTGCTGGAAATCGGAGAGTGACATCCACAACATCATCAGCTGCTACAACTCAAGAACAATGAGTTTTGATTTTGGTAGCACCTCTGCACGTCTGACGAACTTCGAGAGCAGACATGCATATGGGGGTATCTCCCTTTCAATCCTATTTGGCAAGACTTGAGAAAAGCTTCATAACGAGGGGATTAGATCCTGAGTTTGAGTATGAATAAGGGGGCAAAAAGAAAAGGAAAGTAGAACATGGAAAAAAATGAAACAAAAGGAAAATGCTCAATCTGATGCCAATCCTGCAGGCATTTGTGGATGAAGAAGTTATATCAGTTGAGGAATTTGGACCTTTTGAGCATTTTATATGTCTTGGAATATATCTGCACAATGGGGGTGTACCTAATATTTCTTATATTTTGCCCTATTTTATTACATGCTTTGTCTATGTGGTTTAGTTGGTTTTCATCATCCTATTGAGAGAAGAACTCTGTGTTTAAGTTTGAAATGGCTTTATATTGTAGGGATCCCCACTTATAGGATATAAATCAATGATTGGAATCGTTCAGTTTTTATATTATCTTCCAAGAATTATCCATTAAAAAAAAATAGTGGGGTCGAAAATTATATAGCAATTTGATAATCTACATTTTCATTTTAGTTTGATCTAATGTATTGTGTATTTTGCACATTTTCGATAACCAAACGACTTTTGATACGAATGATTTTTTGAAGGAATAAAGAAACACTCGAACAAGCTAAAAGTCATGGGCGAGAAGATAGAGAAGGGGAAACTGTGTTTGATAATACAATGGGATCATTGGAAGACGAACTTCGAGCTCAAACGACACAAAAGGAATTCCTCCCAACTCCCACTATTTTTATAAGGCTGAACAACGGCAACTTGGAGAAAAGCTCAGAAGATTTATGGGAAACTATTCAAAATGCAAGTGCGGAAGTTGGTAAAACTCAAGGAGTGATTAGGCTAACTGAAAAGTTAGAGAGTAAGAAGGAAAAAACAAAAAAAAAATTGAAGAGAAAGCTAAAAGAAGAAAAGAAGGAAAAGAGAAAGCTGAAAGAGGACAATGAGATCTTAAATGTTGAGAAGAAAGCATTCTTTGAATCTGTGGAAAGGGTAGTGAAAAACCTGGAACAGACTCTTGAAGCTGAAAGGGAAGAGGTGAAAAACCTAAAGAACGAAAAGATTGAGTTGATTAAAGAAAATCAAGAACTCAAAGCTCAGTTCAATCAAGGAGTCAATGCACCACAATACAATTCAGGTATCTCCAAATGAATCCTATTTGAGAAGACTTGACAATCCTCTTTCCTTGTGTTTTGAAATGGCTGAATAAAATTTTCAAGCCTCAAAATTCAAACAAAGTTGACGTAAAGATAGTTGATCAGACAAGGCACAGCTCATTATCTGGCTATGGATGTCGGAACTTATAAGATGTGTGCATTGTGCTCCATTTTGATGGCATTTTGGTTATTGTAAAGAACCAATTACTTCAAGCTGCCAAAGACATCAAGTTTGCCCATGCTTCCTATGCAGGGATGGCCGGCAAAATTACATCACATGTCAAATGTTCAAGCTTCATGAAAATGGAGCTGCTACTGCTGGCCACCGATCACATGCTGCCATATGCACACAAAAACCACCTATCCTATTAAAACAATTTCCCTGAAAAATTGACTGGTCATATTTGGTAGCCATGGTTGGAGAGGCTCCTTCAATATATGACCCTATAAAAGGTGACAAAATCATTTCAATTTTCAAGCAATTGAAGTCAATTTCCACCCAAGTGTGAATTAATTGTTGCAGTTCCAAAGAGATGACCTTTTGCCACATTGTCTCTTTTTGTGCAATCAATTAAATAAAGTGAAAACAAATGACCCAAAGAAAAAGTGAAAATGAATTTACTTTCATGTTTACCATCACACGGCATGGCACACTCACCAACCCAAATAG